GTGGAATGAAGATTGGCAGGGAAAACCGAAATACTCGGAGAAAACCTGCACCAGCGCCACTTGACCAGACCCGGGATCGAACCCGTGCCGCCGTGTTGGGAAGCCAGCGACTAACCGCTTGAGCTATGGCGCGGCCCTTACTTACTTACTTACTTACTTATGGAGATGAGCCCTTCTTGAGGACCCGCCAAATCTGTTCATTACCGTGTTCGCTAGCTCCGCTCAGCGGTAATGGTATAAAATGCTGGGTTCACAACCTTCACAACGGTCTACAGTCCACCGATCAACAGACACCGTAGCTACGCTGACGTCACAAAGCAGCAGCTGCCGTAACTCTCCAACATCGCCACAGCAGACTACACCAGCACGCGCACCGCACCGCCTGGCCACCTAGACTACGCTCTCTCGCCGACTCGTAAACGCCGAGCGGCCATAAAAGAGGCCCGGACCGCCCGGTCTATCCGACTAGACTCGCTGACATCCTGCCGGCTCGTAACTGCTGAACGGTAGCAAAGAAGACCTGGGCTGCTACAAACCAGCAAACCCCGGTTGAACAAACGACCTTTTGAGGGCCAGCAAATCTTGTGAATAATAGTTATATATCGAAACGCCTTCCCAGCCATCCTGTACATTTGTAAATAATATATATACCTATTATAGTTTTACGTAGTTGTCTCTTAGAACACAGACATCTCACAAGCCCTTCACTAGTCCCTATCCTTAGCCGAAACAATCCAATCCGTTTCATCCCATCCTATCTCTCTGAAAACCATTTTAATATTGTCCACCCACCCACGCCTTGGTCTTCCAAGTGGTTTCTTTCTTTCTGGCTTTCCCACCAATATCCTCTATACATTCTTCCTCTCCCCCATTCGTGCTACATGCCTTGCGCACCTCATCCTCCTTAACTTGATCATTCTAATTATACTTGGAGAAGGGTACAAGGTATGAAGCTGCTCATTATACAGAGGTGGCCCACTTTAATTCAATGGCGCAGCATATCACAGCTGTCATTAAGAACCGCACTGACTTCGAATGGATTAGGTGTACTAGTTGTTCACTTCACCACGAAATTCCTTGGTAGTGTAAGTGAACAAACAGGTTGATGACTGAAGCAGACAGGCAGAGGCCACAGCGAGGAAGATGAAAATCCTGCCACATCAGTAAGTAATTAGGAAAGTAGTGTTTCTTCAGTTGTTTCCCGTAATGTACTACCCATATCAACACCTGAAAGTCGGCACAGAGCAATTCCTGAATTCCTGGCAGCGTATCTGTACCAACTACTCAGAAAAGCATCATTATATGCTTCATAAGTTGAAG